GTTTCATATTTTTTTTCGAAATTGCCGTCAATTAATCAGTCAATAGTTGATAATCCATAGTTGGCACATGACAAGCAAAACGGTGGCATGCATTGTTTGCGTGCACACTGCACATACACACTCACAATGGAATGTATATGATGTTATAAAAAAATGTTTATATTCCCACAGCTATTAATTGGATTTGACCATAGTCACCACGTGCGCACACACGCATACTAATCCCATCATTTTTATAACATTTGGCAATAATTTTTCCGATGATTTGTTTTTCATTTTTATTTCTATGATGTGCGACGTGCACAGCCATTTAATTGGTAGCCGATTTGTTTCTAACTTGTATATTTCTAACCATCGTTTATGCCAAACAGTTTTTTTACCCTCTTCATGGCTATATAATTTTATTGTTCTGTATGACAAATTTCCATAAATAATAATAATAAAACAATAAAAAATAAAAAGAAAAGCGGCAACAACTATCCAATGAATAAATCAAAACAACAACATTTGGCACGTTTAAAAGTGAACGGGATACATAGTAGTGGTTTACTTCTCTAATTATGATCTTTTTTTTTCTTTCATGGTTGCTTAAAATGTGTGCGCGAACGAGTTGTGAGCACGCTTCAAATATATCGACAAAATAACACATTGTTCCCATAGCATAGCGAAATACATTTGCCAATATGTTGTTGGATTTTTTTTTCATTGTTGCCTGACACAAACACCATCATTAACAACAAACAACGGCCACTTTTATGACCGAACGTCGTGTTTTTTTTTCTGTTGCGTTGTTGCTGTTTCTCCATTTTATTTTTAGTACAGTTCAGCAGAGTATAAATGCAAATAGAATTATTATTATTATCTAAATATCATTCCTTCGGTTTATTTCGTTTTGGCACATGTCGCCACCGTTTCTCTTCTTTTTTGGTTCACCAAATGGAATTTAACGAAAATATCAACACAAATCCGTTGGAAATTTGAAACGAACAAACAACTAGTGGAAGAGAAACGCGAAAAAAAATGAAAGCGACAGCATCAATTTTGCATTTTGATGATTTCTTTTTCATTTCGGCTCAATCATTTTCAACAAATTTCACAAAATGATTTAAAAGATCATTTTGAAGAGATCACCACGTACGTGCCACTCTGTGTAATATTATTAAACACACACACACATCTATCGTTTATATCAATGATTCAATAACAAATGCCAATCCATGCAATTGGTCGTTTCGTTCGAATAGCCAATTTGAGTCAAGTTCAACGGATGAATCGTATTTCGCTCATAAATTACGGGCTCAATTTTTAATCTCATTGCAGAAAAATAAGAAAAAAAAGAAAGTTTGATTTGTCTTTGTTTTCGATTTGAAGTCGATCGCAATCGATGTTGAATTGCAACTAATTTTCACTTCTAGAGAAAAGAGAATGCGCTAATTTCAACGGATCTATGGCCAGATAATTCCGTGAAAGTTTTGTTGCTTTTTTTTCAGATCTGTGCCTTAAATTGGTTGAATTTAAAATAGAAATTACATAATTTCTAGTTGCAATCAACATTTTGCAATAACGACAAACAGTGTCGAACCTCAAAAAGCCAATCAATTGCATTGAATGGCGACATTATCTCCGTATGACCTAGCATTTGATTAATTTGCTGGTAATCAGTGTGAAAGAAAGGCTTGATCTCTGCCGCCACAAAACGCATCCATTCAATATCCGATCGGTTACGATCGCTTCACAGGCGAATGAATATTGCCTGAGTGTCAATTTTATTTTTAGTCGTTTAAAGTCATCAAATGCTCCCAGTGCTGATACCAGAGATAAGTGCAATTGTGAGTAAACATAAAACTGAATCAGTTGGTGAGTGCCAGAAAAGCGTAATAGTAGTATAAAAACTAGTTTTTAATGTAATTTAAAGAGACATACTCAAGCCAACCAGTTTCTAATGTAATTGAAACAGCTGAATATCAATCGTTGTGTGGTTGTTATTCGAATTGCCACAAATCGTCACCACATATCACTGATTGCAATGCAAAATCAACGGGTTTATGCATTTTGGGATATTCGTTTTGAGAAAGCAAACATACACAAGATAAAAACAGATGTTCATTGAAATAAACGACACATAAAATAACTGGGTGAATGGATTTGTGCGGCGGCTAGTTTTTTTCCGTTGCATCGCATCACAGACACACAAACACATTTATTTCGTTCGCGGAACGTCATCTATGTTATGCAGCCCAACAAATAAAACACGGTTGATGCTGCCATTACCGATGCCGCCACTCTAATCACATTTGTGTATGTCAGTGTTTGCCATCAACAATCAATTAATTTATTCGAGAGCACTAGATTCAAATCAGTTTTAGTCGGTGCTGGATGTAGTGTGTTGCACACAATGCAAATGAACGGGCGTATATGTGCAATTGATAAATTACAATTTGATGATTTCAATTATAATTGACGTGCACATTGCAGAAAATGAAAAATCATAGATATTCTCTGATTATGCGATCACTACACGACGATTATCATCATTAAAGCGACTCATTCAAAAATCGAAATCGTCGCAACTTGACCGCGACGATCCATTACGAAATATTCTTGTTACTATTACGACACAATGCCATCTCTTTTTGTGGTTTTCATGAGTGCAAGTGTTAAAGTTTCAATTGAAATTCTATGCCATTCACCGCAATTAGCCACTGAAAATGGCCGTCACGGGCATGTTTCTTTCGTGTTTATTTCAATTCAAATTTGCATATTTCACCGCATACGAAATTTGATGTTATCGGATCTCTAAACAACCCGAAAAACTTGCTGCAATTAATTTACCGTGCCCGTTGTTATTCTTGTGAAATATGCATTGCTGGAGCGAAACATTAAAAAAAATACCGAAAAAATGAGAGAGAAACACTCACTTAAAACACACATTCGAATATCTGAAAAAAGCGGATTTATATTTTGTCTGTTTAGAAAACAGTGTGTTTTCTCTGGTTTGGAGCGTGTTATTCAGCACAATGATTGTGTTTGTTGCGCTTATTGTGTCATATTTATATATTTTTTTTTTTTTTGGCATAGCCAAACATTTGATGCTGCATTATTCGAATCAAACACAATGGATCTCTCATCTGTGCTGTGCACGTTTCGTAAAAGGTTAATTACCTCTTACATATGCCTGGCCAATCATCAATTCTCTTTTTTTATCTCTCCTTCTCTATTGGTCTCATTTTGGTTAGAATATTATTGTTTGAATGCATATTTATATTCATGTTCACAAAATCACGTCACGCAACCACTTAATAATATTTTTTTTAATATAAAATGTGAATATAATTCGTCAGCGGAAAATAGACAACGCATAGCAAAAAATTTAATTTATTTTTGTTGAAAAAGAAAAATAGCGTTTATTTCAACCGATTTGGGAAGTGAAAACATAATATTAAGAAATCATGCGAATGTGTTTCGTTGAATTGGATATGAATCAAAGTGCCAAAATGTGAGTGTAGCACAAATAAACCGAAATTTTTAACGCTGATTTATAAGCATTTTATAAAGCTTACACACACTTGATTAAAATCACATACCCATGAAATTCCTCGAAAGCGAACGAAAAAAAGAGTTCCCCTTTTATCGACACATAAGAAATATAATTGAAGGATTTTTTTCGGATTCAAAGACCAGTGAAAGAAAAAATGCGAACTATTTTGTAATCGATTTACGGCACACCACATTTTATTCAACATATATAAAATCAATTTGTGGTGGTTAATGTGACTAACGGAACTCGTGCTATTGTTGCTATTATTGGCGTTTCGATTGCAGTCACCTTTCAAATGGCCTTTTGTCTTTGCTCTTCACGTTCAAAATATCCGATTAATGGACGACATAATTATCGATACGCTGATTGATTTCAATTTATCGCTCCATGGAAAAAACCACTGAGTCGGAAAGGATTCCATTCGAATTCTGTAGTTTGGTCGTAGATCAGACAAGAAGAGAAAAAAACAATTATGTGAAAGAGAAATAAACTGTACTTGATCAATCGCTGCTGTTTTGCAAAGAGAAAGAAAGAGAGAGAGAGAGAGAGAGAGAGAGAAAGAGATAGAGAGAAAAGAAAGAAAATTGCAATGAGCAAAAGAAAAAGAAACACTATGATTACAATGTTGTATTCAATCAAATCAATTGATTCAAAGAAAAAAGAGGGAAAAAAATGATTGAATATGGTTTAGAAGCAAGCATGTGTGCACATAAAACTGTGATTCGATTTACTATCTGGCTAAGCGCCATAACTTTACATAAAAACATGGAATTTTGTTTCCGCCTTTCGTCATGAATGGCATTGTTTTGCAAGTGAGTTGATTCGGCACTCTTCTTTAATCCACTTTACCATTATTCAAAAACAGAAACGCATTCAAACCCTTCACCATTTTGTTCACGTTGTTTTCTGGGTTTTGCCGGTTGTTGATTTTTTTTTTAAATTCATTTTGCCAATCAAAGAAACAGTTAGCAGAAATGAAACTCGAGTAAATCGTGGGAACAGCACATACCGATGAGGTAAACTCATAGCTCTCTCATGTGTTTTTCATGCAAACGTTATAATATTGCGTTAATTGTTAATTAAAACTTTGTTATCACCAATTTCGTGGAGTCAAGACATTGGTTATGTTAAAAGGTCTGGTCAACGATGTCAAATTACTATTGCGATAAAATGTTCACAAACAAATGAATCAGGAAATGTTTGTGTCATAAATAAAATTTGTGTATTCACCTTTCGCCGGTCGTCGTTCATCTGCATATGGCCAGATGCTGTTTATGATATCAATGAACAGTGCACAACACATTCATCATGTTAAATTTAACATATTTTTGTTTGTTGTGCGCTTCACACATCACTAACAAATCAATTTTCACATAAAACATCTTTCGGTTTGCGAAAAAAGGGAGTGAAATGGTAATAATTGCAAATTTCATATGTGTTTTCTCTCTCTGATTTACCATAGGAATTGCCAAAGGCCGAAGCATTATTATCGGGTCGTGACTTACCATCGGACAATGACATGCAATCATTGGACAATAACAAAAAAGACACGGAAAATGTTAAACTGAAGACGAAAGCCACCGCTAGCGACAGCGACTCAGACTCATCGTCATCCGATAATTCATTCTCAGACAGCGACGAAGCTGAAGAATTGAATCGTGTCCAAATTAAAATGCCATTGGAACTAAGCCTCAGCGATTTGGCCAATGCAATTATGCAACAAAATCAAAAGTAATTTTTTTTCTTCATATTTTAGCGTTTCATTTTACTCCAATTGAATAAAATATATATAAATCTTGCTCTAATGTATAGATCACGCATGAACTGTGTTATTGAACGTCGTCGTGCTGAAGAATTAGTTGATAATGCACCAAAAATGACGCCATTCGGATTCAATTTCAATAGTGAACCAAAGAAACGTGTAACCGGTGAACGTATGGCTATCTTCTGCGAAAGTGGCTCTGCAATCAAGTACGTATTCAAACCGTTTTAATTTCTTTAAATATTCTTGAGAAATATTATTACAAAAATTGTACCGTACAGAGATGAAGATGATGATGATTCAGCTGAACCACGTGACGTGCCAATGCAACGACTTCCAATTCCATTCGGTGCAATGCCACAACAATATCCACTCACACATATGCCACAACAACAAATGCCAGCTCAACACATGATGCCACCACAACAACAACCACAAATGCAACAATTGCCACCACAAATTCCATTTGTTGTAAGTGAAAAAAAAAATCATCTTTTTATCTATTTTTATTATTTACGTCAATGCTCTAACAATATTGGTCTGCGGTTTTTTTTAGATCCGTCAAATTGTCGCCCTTCAACAACAACAAGCCCAACAACAAGCTCAGCACCAAGCCCAGCAACAAGCCCAGCAACAGCAACAACAACAACAGGTAAGAAATGACAACGGATAACTGCCAAACAGTCTTTATTAAGTTGGCAATCTCTTGTAGCATGTACCACTTGGACCTGGTCCAATCATGATCCGTCCAGCAATGGTTCAACAATTCCCAATCCCAGAGCAACCACAACACAATCAACCACAACAACCAATAAACGGTAAGTATAATTTGATTGAAATTTCGTTGAATAAATCGAATTTTGATTTATTGATTTGGTTGATTATCCAAGGTGAAATTCGTATTCATTTGCAACGCATTCCAATTCAACGTGAAATTCAAGTGCGTGAAATCCCAATTGAAGTTCTTCAAGCTCGTCCAAATGCAATCCGTCCAATTCAAGCAATTCGCTTGCAATCGGTGCCAGAACGTGAAAGTCAATCACAATTTCCACCACGCGAAGCCGCTTTGTTGCGTGAATCGTTCGGCTTGACTAATGAAGATTTAATGAATATTCAACGTTTGGCCCAAGAGCGCATTGAACAAGAATTGCGATCACTATCTCAAGATGATATGAGCAACGATTCAAATAGCTCAGAAAATGATGAAGATGACAGTTCAGATGAGATCTCAATGAACAACATGGCACAACAAATGCCCACAAATAATCAACAGCAACAACAACAACAACCACAACAACAGGAACAACCAAAAACTGAAGAACCGAAACGTATGTATTTTTGATGTGAATTTTGCCATGAATGCCCCCTCCTTGAATTTCTCCATGAATTAATGATTTCGTATGCATTTTATTAGAAATGGATGCTCAAAATCTATCAAATGAAGACGACAAAAGTGACGCATCAAAACCAAATCAGATGACTGAAGACGACTCAAACGATGACGATGAAACACAAAATGACAAAGTCATCAATGATTCGCAAATCTTGCAAGTTGGTCGTGCCGCATACGGTCGAAGCATTATTACACCTGTCAATATTCCAGTTGATATGATGCAAAAAGAAGCAAACGAAGAACGACCACACTGTAAGCGAATTCAGCGCACACACAACACACAAATATATTTCAATGTTGATTGATTTTCTTATTTCTCATTTCAGTCGTTCAACCACGTTCCATCCCCGATCAAGCACAAGCCGCGCTTGCCTAATGCGATGCAATCGCACTGCTAGTCATCTTACTACGTACTAGCTAAATTCAGAGAGAATAAAATAAAAACAAGAGCGAGAGAATAAAATTCACACAAACACAACACACACACACTTTTACATAAAAAAAACTATATTTTGTAATTAAAAAAAAAGATATATATATATATATTGAAATCGATAAAAAAACAATGGTGATGAAGAAACAAAAAAAGCCGCTTAACTATTTAACTGTCTTGAAGAGAATTTTCGATGAATTTATTTTTATTACAAACACACAGATAATGTTGATTTATAGGATGCATTAAACGATGACAATCACACTTATCAACCGGTATTTGGACTTTGATATTTTGCTTGCAACGAAACACCAATAAACAAAATTAAAGTAAAAACATCGGGACAATTTTCTATCTGGCCATATGTAATTTGAATTAAATCCAGAAAAACGCAAGCAAGATCACGCTATAAAGAGACAGAAAGAGATCGAGGGAGCGATAGAAAGAGAGAGAGAGGGGAAAGAGAGATAAAAAATACAAAAACGAGAGAAGAGACATTAAGAAAAAGAAAGAATCTACAAAATTGATATAAGTGATGAAATTTCAAGCGACAAATTGACTTTTAAGCGTCAACCGCTCCGATCTCCGCCAATTTCTTCTTTTTTTCGTTCACATATGTTCGTTCCATAGAATATATAAATGCAAAACTCCTATATCTCAGTCATCGTTGTTTTTGTGTTTAGTTCTCGGCGTAAATTGCAAAGAGTTATGATAAAAACTAGCCAATAAACCCATGGTCAACCGTTCTCCACTGATTCGCATTTCTATTGCATTCTTTCTTTTCTCTATTTTGTGATCTTCATTTTTTTTGCATCCTCCTCTCATTTTACGTTTATTTTTTGGTTATTTCTCTCTCTCTCTCTCTCTCCCCCCGGTTCCTCTTTCCATATATTCACCTTTCTATATATGAAGCCGCACGTACTATTTCGATTGAATATGTGATTTAAAAGATAGTAAAATGAGAAATCCATTAACTTTCTAATTTGGTGACAAAATATTACAGATTTTCCAAATTTTTCTTTTGCTGCGTAAAAATGCTTCGATATATTTTTTTTCCTGTTTTGGTTTAGAATATGAGCTAAAATCACAATCAGAATAATTTTGTTTCCTTTTTATTTTATTACACGTATTACGGATTGTAAAAAAAGCAACAAAAAAACCCAGAGTTTAAAAATGATAAACAAATTTTTTATTGTATAATAGTTTTTCTGTTAAAAAAAGGAATACGAATACATACTTTTTTTAGTTTCTTAGCGATTTTATTTTTTGTTTGGATGAAATAAAGTGACAACAAAAAATATTTGAGTTGAAAATGTGTTTTATTTGCAAAACTAATTAATTGTAATATGGACTGTCCCGTCTGTCACCAATCGCAAGAATAGATGTGAATTGGGTATTGTGAAAATAAGCATTTTGTCGAGAGAAAACAAACGGAAATATGAACCAAAACTTCAAAGGACGAACATTTTAAACGCTACATACTGTGACAACTGTGTATCCGGATCTCTTGTGAATTTATGAATAAAATCATTTTAAAAGCCAAACGAAAAAAAAAATCAATTGCGCTAATTCTACACAAAAGCGTGCATGAGTTGATAAGAGTATACCTCGAATTTCAGGTCAATATGGCTTTGGCCTGAATTTATTGAAGAAAAAAAAAATATTTTTTTGGCTGAATTCAAACCAAGTCATGAATTCGAATAGCATGAGAAATGAGTGCGCGGCAGCTGTTGTTCCTTGTTTTTTTTTTGTCGTTCATCACATAACGCGCATCGAAAATCGAATAGCGCAGAGAAGAAGCACCAACCAAGCAACTGATGTGGCTCGGGATCGTTTTTTTTCCTTCAATTTCTTCGTGCAATTTATTCATTGTCTTTTTCTATTTCGGTTGTTACATTTCGTTTGCTCACACAACTCTTGGTGTGTATTTTAATGGTTATTAAAAAAAATAGATATACACCATGTACCAAGGCTGTCGAAAGTAGAAAGCAACGAAACGTTAATTTTAATATTTTATTGTCGTTTAAAATAACGCGCAAAATGATAGGAGCAACGAGTTGTGAATGTGCGCAAACGTCACACAACAAGATGTGAAAGAGAGGTGCGAGCATGAGCGACGATGACGAGCGTGAGCGCACATGCTTGAGGGGTAGCTATATGAACAAATGAGAAATGTTCATTATAAAAATAACTAAAATAAGATGACAACAACAGCTGATTGCTGTGATTTGAAGTGATATTTTCAATAAAGAAAAAAACCACGAGGAGACACACACACAAAAATAACACAAGAACTAATAAGTAGTAACAAGAGAACAACGTACAACATGTCTTCTCGATTCTATTCGCGTCGAGCTTGAACGATGAGCTGAATTTATTGCATTTTTATTAATTAATTGTAGAACAAAAAAGAAATTGAAGCCAAATTTCAGAGATGCCTGAGATCCATCCAAGTGGCAGGTAACCGGTAGCCATTCAACGCCAAGGATCATCAAAAACAATGTTTTTTTTTTAGATATGCGACACTGTCAAAGTAAATGGCTTTAATATGATCAGTCAAAGCAGATGCAAACACCACTTAATTTACAAGTGTGCTTGCGTTCCATTGAACTTTATTCAACGATATGTTTTAATTACTTTCGTTCATTTTTTTATCACAACTTTTTTCCATATGCATTGACTGTATGGCAATCTGACAATGGCACTTTTATTTGAAACGAAACATAAATAAAAAAAAAATGAATATTTGTGCCAATCTTTGATTCTCACGTGTCGTCTCTTTGCCAAAATTTACCTTTTGCATTGAAAACATTCAATTTTTCTCTAGCCAGTACATCGCCTCGAAATCAATCGCAAACGGTTTTGAACCAAACAAAGAATATGTCTGACTGAATTTGACTTCTAATAGCAGACATTTTTCGATGTAGTTCACATTCCTGGCATACTGAAATTGATATGTGATATATACTGCTCAAACACGAGCGTTTTGCTGGTGCGAAGTTCATTTCAAATATAAAACAGTCGTTCTCATCGAATTATTTATTCGCCACTCACTCACACTTTCTCTCTGTCTCTCTCGCTCGCTCGCTCTCTGCCACTTTGTTCACTTTTATTGCAACATTTGTGTGTCGTTTAAATGCCAACCGAGTGATTCGACGATATATTTGGCCACGTTTTCTCTTTTTCTGACTGCCAATTTACAACTTATTTTAAAAATAGCCCATCGATTTACGAGCATTTTCAGCAAATTCAGTGGTTAGATATAGATTTCCTTGTGTCACGAGACTAACAAAAACAAAAATTAAATTCGGTATCACACAACGAATTGAAAGATGGGACGACGCGGACAGCAGCTGAAAAACGTAATAAATGCAACGAATTCAACCATCCATTTGGGCGCAACATGAAATCAAACAACGAAATGCAGACAGAAAAAAATGTGAATTCGAATATATTGACAATTATCAAGAATATATCGTCGAGGCATCTCATGGCTAAAGCAAAAAGGTGAAATGTGTTGTAGTCGCCATCAATGCTACATGTTTGCGATTCTATTTTAGAGAGTAACGCTTTAATTAAACAATGTAATGATAACAAAACGAAATATCGTGGGGGACGAAAAACTTTTTTGCTTTGATTATAATCATTCAATGAACGGCCACAACATAGAATATATCTCATATTTTACCTAGGGGGTCTTCGTTTCTAGAAATGTTTATTATGAGAAATCATAGACTGTTTCTCATAGCACTGAATTGCAAATCTCCTAAGTTTTAAATATTTTTTTTAACTTTTAATATTTTGCGTCTAATTGTGGAGTAGTGCTGCTCCTCATAGCGCTTTCCTCACACATATTGCTCGAAGAAAGAGTCTCTGTCTTATATTGATACAAAATGTGCAGAAAGATTTACTTAAAATACCATAAATTTGGATCGGTTGTCAACAACACACGTTTAACGGTGCGCTATGACCATGTAATTCTAATTTCTGCACGACAACTTTTTGAGAAAACCGAAAGTCCGTAGAGCCAATCAACATTAGCGGCTAACACATTGCTACCGTGAATTTATCTATATCATCTTTTTCACAAGAAACAACGAAAATTATTTATACACTCCGTTTTTGACGAAAATAAGTGAAACGCGCAAACGAATTCTATCTATTCGTTATCCGTTGCAAACCAAATGTTGATTTACATATCGCTTTTAAGCAAAGTTATATTTTTTTTTTTTTTAAATAAACATGAGAATTTTGTGATCATTGAACACTGCCAAATATTACCGCATTTTTCTCTTGTCATGTTTAACATGCCGTGGAATTGATGACGCCTCATATGCCCGGGTTACGTTTTTTCTCTTTTTTTCTTCCCTAATTATGTGTACGGAATATTGTAAACGTAATCAGTTTCGATAAAAAATGAAGTGAAACGACGCAATTCAACGGAACGATTGAATACAAATATACAAGATATTTGACTCAAATCACACATACAAACCCAAACATATTCTCATTTTAACCAGATAAAAGCTAAATTATAACAAGTTGTCCTTCCGTTCGGTACCTTTTGTTGATGGTTTTATGAGTACAGTTGCCCGAATTCAGAGCTATTCCCAGTACTCGCTGCATCCTTGAACACTTTTCCCCAACAAAATCTTCACCGCATCAACGTGATAGAGAGCTGCCATGGTGCCTGCGTGTAATACATGCATACACATACAATAATACACGAAAGACAAGGTATTCGCATAACAGTTGTTTCGGTGATCGTTAAAAATCACGTTGAACGGCTTTACGTTTGTATGAGCATCAGGCGTATCTGTAGCTACATACGGGTGCTTGCCGAGTGCTTAATTTTATCCGAGGGCCATATCGGTCGGCTAACCGTTGGTGTCCGTGTTTGCTTCGGGTCTTTTTTTTCGCGTTGCATACACAGTAGAAACCGAAAATAAGCTAGAACAATACATAATACGGTTTTGAGTGATGAGAACCATCTTATGGTGATCAGTCGACGTCGATCTTTACAGTAATCACGATCCCATAAGCTC